TAAGTTTATTTATGATAGAACTAAAATTCTTTTGTAATGTAATACTCGCTTATACAATTCTACGTAGCGTATCAACTGCATGCAGAAACTACAGCGGCGTATTATATCCGCGATATAATAGCATTGCGATACCACAGCAATTCTACATTTCATCATTTCGGTATTTCCTACGGCCGTTCGATGAGCATCGCTTATAAATGCCCCCGCATCAATACCCCTGAAATTAACACTACATCGAGATACATATCTCATAACTACCAGACTTTATTCGTTTCCGCTAGACCTCCCGCTCTCGAGAGCACCGCGGCTTTGGCGCAAGATTTAAGGTCTAACGCTCACGACGCGGGCGCATTAAAATTTTTCGCGAAACAACGCGAGAAGGCATGCCTCTTGCGCGCGGGTCAAGAGGAAACAGCCGTAATTGGCATTCCCTGCACGGTTCCGCGGGCGGCGGTTCATCGGCTGGCGGTAACCCGGTGCGATATGCGATATGCCGATTGTGCGGCAACGTCATCCTATCGGAACGAGAGCATTGAAGCGCTCTCGCGTTTCGATACGCCGCGCCGCGATTTCTGTTACCGGTATCTCCCGGTTCGCCGGTGCGCAGCTTGATATCCCCATAAAGCTTCGGTTAATCCGCGTTACGCGCCAATTAAATATTTCTCCGTTTCTGCGCGGAAGGGGTCATCGGGAGTCGTGCCCCGCAATCTTGAACCCGGACCGCGAATTCTGCGCATACTCGCTCTCGTCGTGTGTACACACGCGCGCCGATTGCGCAAAGTTGTGCTGTGTTGCGTGCGGAGGAACAATTAGACGCGCGCTTCCTCCCTCCTCCCTAGACCCCGAGGAATCTTCTCTTCTCGGAAGGATTATTCCTATCGGAACTCAGCGCGTGTTTCCGCGAGAATAGACGGATGGAATTTTCTGCCATTACCGTGGCGTCGTCTCTCAGTCGAGACTTGCGCGATCCGGACAAAATCGATCCCTGTCTCATTATAGGCTTGCGCAACGCCGTCAAACTGCAAGGCATAATTAAAATCGGACGTAGCGTACACGTGTTACGACACGCCTCACGATCTCCGATCGTATATCGCGCGCAGAAATAACGCGAATTCGACGCGTACTAGATCGTACAATTAAACTAGTGTACATTTGTACAAGAGCCTTGATAATAATCGAAAGCGTCGTTTCAATTCTTTAATATCCCGTATCTGTCCGTGCCTTAGACGTTAGCAATCTTTTAACGATTTACATGCAATGTACGAACGCTATGCGGATCGGTGAGCAAAAACACGCATAAATATAATAGCAGTGCGGTTGTAAGCATTTACCTTGAGATACGAGAATGCTCCTTAAAATTATCGATTGAATCCTGTTTTAGCTTTTATTAGTGAACATGATTGTAACAGTATAAGAGTATAACACTTTCACGTATGTACAATACAAAGTCTAATCCCTCACATATATAATTCTCTTTGAATGTATTTTTTTCACTCCAAAATTATAGTTTGATCTACATTTTTTTATTCCGATGTTTTGGAAAATATCTATATTTACAGTATTAAAAATATACAAAGTTTTCCGAAAAAAATGTATTCTTTAATTTCATTTTTACGTGATGTAAAATATGATTTTAAAGTACCTATTGTGCAGCAATAATCGGCTAGGCATTAGTTTGTATTCGTATCTCACTTTTATCAATAAATACGTTGTTTCTGAAATTCTATAATATATGTAATGTAAAATTATATTATATTATTGATAAAAAAGTGAGTATATGAATATGGACTTACTTATGTATAATATTATACCTGTCAATAGAGATGAAAATGATCGAATCTGATAGTAATTTACTTGATAAAATTACGATAAATTATCCGATAATTTTAGAAACTTGGTAAAATGGTAATTAAAAAGTTAATATAAAATTTAAAAGAAACAATTAAGGATGAAAAAACACTTAAACTCATATATTTTATAGATTATTTGTAACTTACGTAGCATAAAGCGTTATGCTGGATGTTGGTCTAACAGTCTTATGTTATGTTTATGCTATGTATTTCATGTGCGATAAGCTTAAGATTTGTTTTCAGATACAATATTACCGAATGATGAATAAAAAGAATATTGTTCTATTTTATCAATTAACGTGAAAAACAATTTATTGGTGCATAAAACTATTAAAAATTATCAAAATTATCAATAAATTATCATTTTATCGTAATTTTATCGGGAGTAATTGTCAGATTGAATCTGACGATAATTTTAACGTCTCTATCTGCCAACAATACCACGTACCCATATGCCACAATACTTATAATACTTTGCCATTTTAAAAAGGGTTGTTGACTTAGGACTGTGAACGAGATAATACCATTTTGCAGAAAGACGTGAACAATGGCAAAGGGAAAGACGGTATAGTAGTTCGTACCTTATGAAATATGAAAAAAGAGAAAGACTGATCACTTTCTTTATGCTTTTTTGTTGCCATTTTATATTTAATATTTTACTAGTTTTTTTGTGTTCTGAAATTCCTGGTCCAAAAGAATCACCCTAGATCCGTTAAGCCTTATTTTTGAATTATCTCGGAATTATCTCTTCTCTTTGATTTCAGAATTTTTTTGGAACTATTATTCAAAGCCATGCATATCATTAAGATTTTACACTTTACATTTTTCATCGCCATTGTTGCTTGACAATATAGATTATTGTCATTGTATCTGTTTTCTCCATTAATCAGATCTCAAATTATACGATAGTTGAGTTTCCAAAAGTGCTGTGTTATAGGAAATCGTGTTATACGGGATTAAGAACTAATAATACAAAAATAGAGTTGATTTTAAAAACTAAAGATACATTATTTTGCATTTATAACTGTCAAATAATATTTATTAAAAATATTAATAACAAACAAATCAATAACAAACGTATTATACACATGTTAATGCACGCTAATTGTTTTTTTTTTTCATTGATGTTAAACAAAAAAAAACGAGAATATTTTCGTTATTGCAAAATATCTTCGTCTTCTGTAGTTTTTTGCAGCACCTAGATTCGATGGTCTGCTTTTTTGTGCGTTTTTTAAATTTTCCGTATTAGAGCGAAACCGTGTTGTACAAATCCTGCATTATAAATTTAGTAGTTTTTAAACAAATTTAGAAGGAAAAGGATTTTTTTATAATTAAATAGCTGTTACAACCATTATTTTAAAAACATTTTTTTATGTTTGTGTATTTGAACACTGAAAATTTCTCAAAGAATTTCTTCTCAAAAAAATTTCAAAACCGAATTAGTTTGGCTAAATTTTTTTTAGATAATTATATTTGCATGGATATCTCTTAATAATATTTTTTATTTTTGTCATGGTTGTATGAAATAATTTTTTTCACATAATAAAATTAATAAAAAATTAATAAAAAAATCATTATTGATACTTTAAGAGGAATTTTCGTAAAAGGGATTGTATGGAGAACAAGGAAGAATTCTACGAACAAATGCGGAAAGAAAGACTGGCTGTGTAGACCGGGGTTAATGAGTTTGCTGTCGCCTGTCACGAACGGTGGTAGGTACAAACGCCGTTGCCTTTTAAAATAGGCAGGTATATACCCTACAAGTTATACTATCGTACCGTACCGTGGTTTCCTGAATGCATCCCCATTGGTCGCAACGATCTTCGGCATGAATTGCCCGCTGGAAGGGGGCAAAGAGCAAACCGCTCGCCGGCAAGATGGCGTCTGTTCTAAATTCAAAACAAGGCGCTGCTTAGCATATACATATCCCGGACTCGGCTGCAGCGCGCACGCTATGACATTCGCAATTCAAATCGTACATTTCTATTACCATTTTAATTCAAGGGCACTCGGTCGCGCCGCGCGCGTGTTACCTCCGCGTCGCCGGTGCACCGGGGGTCATCACACGCACGCACCGGAACCGCAAGAACGTTCGGTTCGAATGTCGTCCCCCAACGTCATCGTCGCGCTGCTGCGCGCTGCTACGCGACGATTCCGATGCGACGGAATAATTTTGTATAATCCGCTGTTATTTGTTTATACGACGGCAAAATTGTTGGGGCAATTGCTTGTCAACTCTTCGATGTGTAACATCGATCAACCAAGAACTATCTCTTAACAGTTTCAGTTACTTCGAGATATTCTTATTTGTTTTAATTACACAAGAAGCAAGAAAATAAATCCACAAGAGAGGACCAATAAGATCGATGTATGTATATCTAATAAGAATGATATATATATTTTTTAATTTGTAATAACGTCGTCTATAAATGCGAACGATTCATTTTGTCAATGTATTAGATGCTCATTGGAACGTTCGTGACTTCTTTCTCGGCGGTTCGCCGAGAGAAATTGTGTCACCCCTATCGAACATCTGGCAAAAACCCTTTTAGATGCGGCTAGGGATTTGTAGCGACGAAAACTGACTCGTTCCCGCGAATTTATGTGCGCCGTCAGATTAAGGGACGAACGGTTCCTTTTCTTTTCTTTCCGATCGAGGCGCCCGCCATTGTGCCACTTCCGTGTATTCGGTTACGCATAACGAGATTCTCGGGATTTCCTGGGGTTCAGAACGACATGACGCTACTTTGTGCTAATGACCGACTACGTCCGAGAAAGAATATACGACAGATGTTCGGTCCACTTTTCTCGAGATGTGTCAGGTAAAATGTTCACTTTGGTGATTCATCTGTGATAGGATTCACGCGTTTGTCGGTTAAAAATTAATTTTTTTATTGTGAAATAATGTGTAAATTGAATGCTACTTAAAGTAATGCATTGATTTTATTAAAATTAAACTTCAATATTTTTTTTACATTAAAGTATGATTAACTTCAAAATTTGGACATTACTATTAAATTGAAATTTAAATTATAATAAAATTATAATTAAAACTCATTAAATATCTTATAAGCCTATTAACATATTTAATATAGCTTATTAAAATATTTGTTAAAATATGTAAAATATTGAAAACCAAGACAAAAGTATAGTGATTACAAATTTAATTTTTTTCGTATTTCTTGTCCATCCATTTCGAAATAGCGATAGTTTATTTCGTCTACATTCACTGTATTTAAAATGTGACGCTGAACTCTATTTGATAAAAATATTAGCTGATCTGAAGAAGGTATATATTTCATCCCACTTATAACTTGTAATTTTTTGTTATCTTGCGCTAATACCACCTTAACATTAATATTTATTTTACAATGATGAAATCGTATTAACAACTATTAGATATAATAATCGTTAATTTGAAATAATTTGAAATAATTTATCGATTCATATAAAGAATAATTATATTATATATCTTACCGTGTTGTTACCAGATTTGTTAAGGTTCATGCCTAGAATAGACGTTCCTTCAAAATCGCTATAAAATAATATACGTTGTCCAGCTGCTGCCAAAGATGGTGCTTGACTTTGTAATTTAGTCACGAGTTTACTTTGATCATTACTCTTTTCTTTATTGGGACATTCTAATAGCGTCTTTATTTTTATTTTATAGATTTCATTTCCCGTTAGAGCAGCATAATAAAGATCTAAAACATTTATAAAAAACTAAAAAAAAGATTATAGAAATCAACGAAATGCCATTAATTATTTGCAAGAAAGTTTTCTTTGTTTTTTGGATTGTTATCAGCGTACATGGCATAAATGTATATAATTAGTAATATATATATAATTATTGTTAATAAAATTAAACAAGAACAGAAAATTACGAATGGAAATGATGCAAATATCAGTTTAACATTAAAATTAAAATTTTTAACGCCCATCATGTATAATGAGCTTACAATTAGACCTTATAATTAAAATAAAACAATATGCTCTGTGTTAGAAAATGAGTACTTGCCATCGCCAGCGATTGCCAAACTAAAGATACCGCCGTCATAAATAAAATGTTCACCTGCTATGTTGAAATTGTTATTGGTCGATTTCATATAATCAGATTCGACTCTGCACATACGCTTTGTAGATGAGTCATACACCACTAAACCGTAACCTTGTGGTTCGGTTACAAATATCTATACATGTATTTATATATGTATTTATATTGAATCACTAAATATGCAAAACGAGACGTATAATTAATGTAATTAAATAATTTTTTAACAAATACGCACTGAGAGAAAAATGTATGGTATTTATGACTACAATTGCAAATAAATAATTATAATTATGATAAAATAATTATGGTTAGGAGCTCTATATTTTTATAGATATTACTGCTATAATGTTAGTTATAATAATTATATTCATATAGTTCTACCGAGCAAATATATAGTTGGCACCGAAAATAACTATACATTACAATTAAATGGTAATTGCAATAATTTTATTCTCTCAATGCAATATGACGAATTTGTATTGCTGTAATTAAAATGAAAATGTATTATTAAAGGAAGATATGTTCTTTAACTTACAGTCATTTCATTCAGTAACCGCGTGCATTCTCCGGGAACATAAACGACAGGCGTTATTAATATTCCCAAGCCCGTTTCGTTAAAAGCGATATTAAATGGAATAGAAATAGTCTTAACTAGCTTATCATTTGATAAATCGAAGATCAATAGTTTTGGTACACAAAGTTGGTTGGTCCCGATTTTACCGTTATCCATAACGAAGAGGTGATTACATTTAATCTGTGATTACATCGATGGTGAAAATAAAAATTCTACTTTATCTATTGTCGTCAAGTTGATATATATATATATATATATATATATATATATATCACATCTTATTTATTTTATATAATTATATATATATATAATAAACTGTTGATTATTTAAATAATAATATATACATAAATGTGATAACTAGGACTCAGATGTTTCCCGTATTGCATGCAGCAATGCTTAGCGCGTGACAAACAAACTTCCAGGCCCTCGTGATAACTTAGGCCCGCTTAGAAAAATATTAATACTTACATGTATTCGGGCAACATTTACAATAACATCGCATGAATTACTTTTTCCATTATGCCAATCCCAATCTGGATATGGATGTACACGGGGACCTCCGACTGCTTTCTTATTAGTTATTGTCGTCAAAGACGCAGGTGAACCAGGGCCCAGATAATTCGGCACAGTAACGAATACTCTACCATCTATAAGAATTTTGTTTGTGAACAGAACTTATGTGCTATTAAAAGTTTTATATATATATATTTATTTATTTATTGTACAAATTGTGCAGTAGCAGTAATATTATCCGTTATATTAATAATATCGAAGAATTGTAAATAAGAAAACGTAGAGAGAGAGAAAAAGATATCATAATGTGATTATATAGATATTAGTTAAATATTATAAAACTATAACAACTTTTTTCAATAATCTATCATTAACCTACCCTCTGCTTTATCTACATCGTATAATAAAGTATCACGAATTTTATAAATGCCAGCTTTTACTGCGTTGTCCATCTGCTGCTTACTGTCCCAGTCATATTCAGCATATTTCCATTGTTGTTTAACGTCTATTCCGATTCCAATGCTTACAATCGTCATTGACAGAATTAGCAGGGCAAACAAAAAATGCTCCATTTTTTTTTACCGCGAATTACTGTCAATATTGTGCTGCTTAGGATACAAGATGAGATTTTCCACCGGGATACGAATTTGTCTTGGAAGTTGAAAATCCGTGTCTCAAGAGAAATATTATACAAATGTCCTTTTAATCAGATGTTAATTGTAAATTTACTAAATGTAAATTGATTAACAACATAGTGTTTAACATAGTTGTTGTTTCATTTTTGTTGCAACTACATCAGAAGATTGATGTAGATGCAGCGATGATGTTACGAGTAAGATTTTTCCGGAATCTTACAGAGTGAGAAAAGTGAAAAGTTATACAACTTTAATATATCGTAAATGCAAGTGAGGCAATGATTTCTTACCGTTTATATATCTACTCTTTTTTCGACACAATATATACGAAAATGTTTTCAAAAAATTTTATTATATAACCTATAATCGTAATTGTAGTCTCATTAAAAGTCTTTCATATCGGTAACAACTTCAATTTAGGTATGGTACACGAAGAAAAAGTTCTGGGTTGTTACAACAGAATATTTTTCGCTTATCTATATAAAAGTTATGGGAACCACAGTACTCTGGAAATGACCTATAGCGATTGTAGCTGCTATATGGATATTACAACTATAATAATTATTTCTATATACGGTTCTTGCAACCATAATTATGTATGCATACCGCGGATATTTCGTTAACTATAAATTATAACTTAAAAATGTAATATTTTGAATATTATTTTTAAAAATAAGAATAGAGTTTTATATGTTTTAAAGATAAAGCTCATAAGTTTTAGCCATAATTATTTAGAATTGTGTGTCCATAGTAATATACATATAAGAAGAATGACACATACCTCAGATAGCACAGAGAATTCAAAAAGAATTCATTTGGATATTCAGTCGTATATCATCAATTCTGAATTTATTTTCAGATGCAAAAAGAATTCTTTTTCAGAACTTCTAGAAAAAGAATTTTTTCAGCATCTGACAATTAATTCAGAATTAACATAATGACTAAATTCTTTTTGAACTCTCTATGCCATGTGGGATTTTACTACTGCTGTCTTCTATTGTTGCAATAGAACTGAACTCTCAGTAGTCTCAATGTTATACCGTATAACTACATCTTATAGATCTCTCACACTATTTTAGCGTTTTTCACTGGTTGCACTGGTGCGCACTGACAAGCGGAAGACCAGGTCAGTGCATCACGGATCCTGATCAGAATTTTTTTGGTGAAACTGGAGGCAAAATAAAGATATAGTGTCTAAGCGTTTGATTGAATGAGCCTTAGTTTTCGAGAATTTTCAAAAAATAATTTTTTAAGTAGTAATATTTAATGTTTAATAATAAAAAGCGATATATTTCTTTCATTAGTTTTCGAGTAAGAATTTTCGAAAAATAATTTTTTTAATAATAATCAATATTTAATATTTAATAATAAAAAGCGATATATTTCTTTCATTCAACATCGGTTATAATAATGCTTGGGAAAAAATACAAATTTTTATGTATTATAACCGATGTTGAATGAAAGAAATATATCGCTTTTTATTATTAAATATTAAATATTGATTATTATTAAAAAATTTATTTTTTGAAAATTCTTACTCGAAAACTAAGGCCCATTTAATTAAACGCTCGGACAGTATATCTTTATTTTGCCTTTAGTTTCACCAAAAAAATTGGGATCAGGATGCACTGACCTGGCCTTCCCCTTATGAGTGCACACTTGTCGAGAGCTTTTCAGTGCGCACGAAGGCGATGCGCGCTTTCATTGGAAGACTTGATGCCGAGTTTTTGCATTTTAATGCAGAAACTCGGCACGAGCTCCAAGCGACGGTTGGTACAGTGCCGGTGCGCACTCAGTTTCTACCAGTGAAAAACGCTATATTTGTTTTGCAAACTATATCAAAGAGACAACAATAATCTTTCGGTGAAGTAATCATATACGAGGGTATTCTAACCGAATGTTATGTATTCTAAGGATTACGGTTGTGGGAACCGTACTGATGAACATACCTTAACAGATATATTTTATGTAACATCAATATATGTAACTGAAATTTACATGTATTTCTTTTCCAAACACAGAGATTGTAACAACCATGGCAATTTTTTCCGTGTAGCAATATGATTTTTGTGTTATTAAGGAGGAACACACAGGAACAAGACTAAAAAATTATATCAAAAATATCAAAAACATGTATGGTATTTACCTTAAACAGCTTGTGCGTTCTATGATTACGTATTATAGTATGGCATTGACAACGTATAGTTTAAACTGAAGTTGTCGCTGCTCTAAATATACTAACAGTATCATCCGTATTTATATTGTTCCGTGTTCGGTGTAATTCTCCCACTCTCTCTTACATTTACACGAATATTTTATCTTATCAATAATGCCGAATATTGCGCGAACATGCATCAAACACGTCACATGCGCATGTACATATACAGAAAAAATATTGCAGTAATATCGAAAGAGATAAGAAAAACAGATAAATAGCAGAAATCCTGTTTTGTGCTTAAAGCGTGACAGGACGGATAAAAATTGTTCTGTTTTCGCAGAAAGCATGGATTACCGATGGACGTGGAGTATTATCGTCGCTAAGGAAAACATCTGTTTTCGCTCGATACTAGTCACGTCGTTATTCTCTCGTAATTATTCTTGTACTGTAATCGTGAGCTCAATGACGTAATCAGAGCGTGACTGACGAGGCCTTAAAGACATTAAATATGTGTTTCCCCACGATTTCCTTCTTCTTTTGCATATTCAACATAATCTCGACTGCGGATTCCATTTATTTTCTTGGTAGCGATATCGGAACTCGTCGAACAATTCTGCGATTAAGCGAGAAAAGGTTTTTACACAGATTATTTATAAAAAAATACATTTACATTTTAATTGTATAGCAATCGATTGAAGTCGGAACGTATTAACTATAATATCGTTCTGGAAGCTCATTATCTGCATGGATATAATACATTTATTCTTTTATTTTCAAATTACAAAATAGCGTTATCTGTAAAGGACATATTCTTTAAAATATTAATACAAATTGATATCCACTTGGCTTTTAATATATTATAGATACATTTATGTGCTTTTTCGGGGAATATCGGCTCTCATCTAAATCGAATTCTCGCACCTGTGAAGTGAGGCTATCGTAAATCTTAAAAACCTAGAACCGCCGGCATCCTAGATTTAGATAAATCAGAGCGCGTCTCGCTAACCTTTTGAAAAAGCTATACCAAGAGCGGGGGAGAACGGTGGTAATATATTGACTCAGTCGAGATGACCAGCTCGTTCCAGCCTCGAACGGTGAACGATCGTTTCGCATTCTCGGCTACTCGTCGCGAGTCGGTCGAGTTGAGAAAAAGAAAAAGGGTCCGAGGAGGGGCGAGAGAGCGAGGGGCGAGGAAGACAGTGGCATAAGAGGCTCGATGAAGGGGGCGAGGGGAGAGGGGGGAATCAAGAAGAAATATGTAGAGAGGGCCCGGGGAGCAGCACTCGAAGGTGTCACTCGGCGCATTCACGAAAACCCAAAACATCCATTCACGAGCGGCGCGGACAATGACGGACCCACTGACCGTACCGGGCCCGTATAATGGAGAGTCAGGAGCGCCCGTCGCCCGTGGTCCGCGCGGTCCCTCGATCCAGATCGAAGATAAATTTCGCATTTGTAGGAGATCGACCGCGCGCGACACAGCGCGTGAAAGAAAGTGGGAGGATCCGGCGAGTCCGCACTTCGGATCGGCCGATTTCCTCGCGCGGGATCGATCACAATGACCGACTGACGCTCCCTTTATCCCGATAATTGTCGCGTTCCTCGGACGACAATTGCCCTCGGGGCATTCTCGAGAGGACGACCGGGCGCCGCGATTTCGTGCGATAAACGAAATGACGAACGAATGGAACCGGTGGTGCAGCGGGAAGAGGAAGGGGCGGACATCGCCGGATCGTGCGCGGTCGTAAGTGGTGCAGCGGGTCGTTTATGCACCTGGACACGACCCCGCCGCAGTATCGCGATCTTTACGGCTACTCTCGCGCGATCGCGCGCGCGGCCAAATATTATTTCGAGCCGGCGATGCGAGCGAGCGCGTGGTAGAGGCGCGCGGGTATAATGCGTTCGCGAGTGCGGACGCGCGCGCGGCGTTACGATAATATTTTCTCTCGAAATAGAGGCTACTTACGATGCACTTGCCTCGTCGTGTGTGGTCCGCGTCTGCCGTGAACGCGAGCGTTCTTTGTATAAAAAAAGAGGGGAGGGGAAGAGACAGTTTGCGCGAGAAGATGGTACTTGCGGACTGTACAGATTCGTTGGCGCAATCGAAAAGACATATCGCGAATACGTTGCGCCTAGAGATCGCTCCCACTTAAGATGTTTCGCTTAATTCGGCTCCCTCGTGCGTCGAACCGCTCGCGATTCAACAAGCCCGAAAGTTATATCTCGATTTATGGCAATTGTCCGAAATTGTTTTCATTCCATCCGAGAACGCATCCGATCTCTCATCCAATCAGCGAATCGATTTTCACTTTGACTCTCATTACGCGAGAAATCGCGCAAATCGCTTTCATGATTTCGTTTTTGCGAAATTATAACAGATCTGGATGTCGACATCGTATATGCAATCCGGCATACGTTCGACGGCGTGAACGAGATGAGCGTGCGAACGAGCAGTCGAATGGTACGCGGCGGGCGAAGGGTGATAGATTGAAAGAACGAAAAAAAAAAAATCAGTCAGTCAGTCAGACGTTACATACACGTTAACCTCAGCGCGGAATAATCCGCGCGTGTAACTCCGCGTGCGCCGTGTAATGTAAGCCTTTACGTACGTACGCACGCACGCGCTGCAATGTTAATTGGAATTACATATGTGTGGTCACACGCGAGAACGCTTGATCTTGAGAGAGCCGGCCTGGCCGCGCTTGATGTATGCGTCGTGCCGTGGTGGTAGACAAGGACGGGCCCGTCCTCTCACTCGCGAGGCGATCATCTTCGGCTTCGGGATACACTACTCCGCGAGCGATCCTCCTCCGCGCGACGTACGTGGACGCGATCGCAGATCGCCGCGCGCCGGACTCCTTTTCTCCGAACGCGGCCGTGCCGCGAGAGAGATCCCCAGCGTGGGATAGGATTTCCTCGAGCGTACGCGTGCCATGGCGACTCAAAGAGAAAGAGAGAGAGAGAACGAGAGAGACTCACGGTCCTTATTTATACAGTCCGCATTTAGCCGTAAACGTGGCCGTCCGATTATAACAAAGTTCCGTTTGTCCGATATGAAGATTCTAGTTGACGTTAAGCGTGGGCCGCGAATTATATGACCGCGTTAAATGTGGGACGTGAGTACGGAGAGCTGTGAGATTGTTTCGTCTATCTTCACCGGGCGTTTCAGCTCGCGTGTAGATTTGGAGAGGATAAGAATTTGAAGAAGCCAAGCATTTTTATTAATACACGCAAGTTCGAGCCGTTATTTATTACGATCGAGATGTGACCATGAAATTCCATAATTCCTTTCGCAGGAAGACGAGTGGGGGGGGGGAGAGGATGGACAGTCGGTTACATCAAGAAACGAGTGAGATGAGACTAGGAAAAAAGTCACGAAAGAAATCTCGGGTCTCAGAACGAACGGCGGCATTAACCGTCGTAACCTTAATTGGGACACATCGTTAGGCAAGGGGAGCGACAAAAGTGGATATCTCTCGTAATTGATCGTAGGCACAAAGCGCTCGATTGCGCCTTACAAGGAAGACGAGCGCAAGGTCGACGGCGGCGTTGCGCGTACGTGTGCGTATTGCATGCGCGCGTGTATGCGTGTCGCAATTACTCCCACGTCACGGCGCATTGAAATCCCAGACGGCAGTAGTCAGCGAGCAGAGGAGCCTGTGCGTACGAAACTATGCGAGAAACAGAGAAATACCGAGAAAAGAAAAGGGTGAAAGAGATGTCTGTCGATCGGTATTTTTACAAAGACTTTTTCTCAATTTATTGACGTAATACATAAATACAATGCAGTATTTATATATGATTATATATATATATAGTACTCTCTAAATTTTCTGGAGTGTCTTTTCACTCTTTTGGAGTGAATCTCACTCAAGTGGCCGAGTGGCAGTATTTTCAATCTTTCGGAGTGAGATTCATTCCAGAAAATTTAGAGAATATACAAAGTAAGAAAAATATTGTATACCGAATATTTAAATGTGGTTTGTAATTTTCAATTAGCGACTTCTTTTGCAATTCCAACACATTTTAACATCCGACACTCTCAAACGATCTATTACAGAATCTGATATTGAAATAGAAAGTTCGGTAGAGGCCCTGATGTATGTCTAATCGAGGTCGTAGTTCGAAATTCCAGGCTGAGAGAAGTGAAGAGAGGCAAGTGAGTGAAGACAAGTAACATTATACGCCCACCGCTTAAGATCAAGGCTCGCGATGGGCCGAACGATCGATGGGCCGTATCATCATATATATTTTGCAACGCGTTGCGCGTAATTTAATTTCGAGTCGCATTACGGCACGCATAATTGCGTAAAACGTAATCTCGAGTGGATGTCGGAGACGCGCGAGCTCGATCGCGGGCATCTCCGACCTTTCGCGAGAATCTCGCCGTGAACGTATGCGAAAGATCGAAGCGCGCCGATCGAGTAACTTTTACGCACGATGATGATGGGAGCGGAATAGAGAATAGGGGAATAGATAGGTGCGACTCTTTCTCCGATCGAGAGTAACCTTAATGTCCCGCGCGCGATTACATAAATATACGTGCCTGTGAGGTAGCCGCGGATGAGCCGCCGATGTCGTCGCCGCGCGGTGACGAAACCCGGCCGCGACAGCGTTAGCGGCGTATCTCGTGTGTATCGCTGGGTGATCTTGAACTAACACCTTTCAGGGCATATTCCGCCATTTATTACGGACACACGAGGTGTTCCAATAATTGCGCAAACGCGCAACACACTGAGATTGCCTGCATACGTAAGTCCATCGGTAATCGTTCCCTCGCGAGGTGCTCGCGTCTTGCTTCGCGTCTCTTGTCTCCCTCCTCCTAACGCCCTCCTTTTACGCTCCCTCTCGCGCCCCTTCGTCATTTTCTCCTTCGTCGCTGCACGCTCCGCCGAAGAGCGTCGTATAATCCTCGCGCATACGCAGCCAACGACGGTAATACCCCGGAAAAAAAACTGCGATGCGAGAGAGAAAAAAAGAAGCCGCTGGCACCTGGTTACTTTTTGCGATTAATATACCACTACTCGCGACAGTAGGTATTAAACTGATTAAATAATTTAACGCATCACACATTA